TCTCCCCCCCCCCAAGCATCACCCTCACCCAGGATGATGGTCCCTCTCCCCCCCAGCATCACCCTCCCCCAGGATGACGGTCCCCTCTCCCCCCAGCATCACCCTCACCCAGGATGACGGTCCCTCTCCCCCCCAGCATCACCCTCACCCAGGATGACGGTCCCTCTCCCCCCCCAGCATCACACCCTCACCCAGGATGACGGTCCCTCTCCCCCCCCCCAGCATCACCCTCACCCAGGATGATGGTCCCTCTCCCCCCCCAGCATCACCCTCACCCAGGATGATGGTCCCCTCTCCCCCCCCAGCATCACCCTCACCCAGGATGACGGTCCCTCTCCCCCCAGCATCACCCTCACCCAGGATGACGGTCCCTCTCCCCCCAGCATCACCCTCACCCAGGATGACGGTCCCCTCCCCCCCAGCATCACCCTCACCCAGGATGACGGTCCCTCTCCCCCCAGCATCACCCTCACCCAGGATGACGGTCCCTCTCCCCCCAGCATCACCCTCACCCAGGATGACGGTCCCTCTCCCCCCCAGCATCACCCTCACCCAGGATGATGGTCCCTCTCCCCCCCAGCATCACCCTCACCCAGGATGACGGTCCCTCTCCCCCCCCAGCATCACCCTCACCCAGGATGACGGTCCCCTCTCCCCCCAGCATCACCCTAACCCAGGATGACGGTCCCTCTCCCCCCCAGCATCACCCTCACCCAGGATGATGGTCCCTCTCCCCCCCAGCATCACCCTCACCCAGGATGACGGTCCATCTCCCCCCCAGCATCACCCTCACCCAGGATGAGGGTCCCTCTCCCCCCCAGCATCACCCTCACCCAGATGATGGTCCCTCTCCCCCCCAGCGTCACCCTCACCCAGGATGACGGTCCCTCTCCCCCCCCAGCATCATCCTCACCCAGGATGACGGTCCCTCTCCCCCCCAGCATCACCCTCACCCAGGATGACGGTCCCTCTCCCCCCCAGCATCACCCTCACCCAGGATGACGGTCCCTCTCCCCCCCAGCATCACCCTCACCCAGGATGACGGTCCCTCTCCCCCCCAGCATCACCCTCACCCAGGATGACGGTCCCTCTCCCCCCCCAGAATCACCCTCACCCAGGATGACGGTCCCTCTCCCCCCCAGCATCACCCTCACACAGGATGATGGTCCCCTCTCCCCCCCAGCATCACCCTCACCCAGGATGACGGTCCCTCTCCCCCTCCCAGCATCACCCTCCCCCAGGATGACGGTCCCTCTCCCCCCCCAAGCATCACCCTCACCCAGGATGACGGTCCCTCTCCCCCCCAGCATCACCCTCACCCAGGATGACGGCCCCCTCTCCCCCCCAGCATCCACCCTCACCCAGGATGACGGTCCCTCTCCCCCCCCCAAGCATCACCCTCACCCCAGGATGACGGTCCCTCTCCCCCCCCAGCATCACCCTCACCCAGGATGACGGTCCCTCTCCCCCCCCAAGCATCACCCTCCCCCAGGATGACGGTCCCTCTCCCCCCCCAGCATCACCCTCACCCAGGATGATGGTCCCTCTCCCCCCCCAGCATCACCCTCACCCAGGATGATGGTCCTTCTCCCCCCCCAGCATCACCCTCACCCAGGATGACGGTCCCTCTCCCCCCAGCATCACCCTCACCCAGGATGACGGTCCCTCTCCCCCCCAGCATCACCCTCACCCAGGATGACGGTCCCCCCTCCCCCCCAAGCATCACCCTCACCCAGGATGAGGGTCCCTCTCCCCCCCAGCATCACCCTCCCCCAGGATGACGGTCCCTCTCCCCCCAGCATCACCCTCACCCAGGATGACGGTCCCCTCTCCCCCCCCAGCATCACCCTCACCCAGGATGACGGTCCCTCTCCCCCCCAGCATCACCCTCACCCAGGATGATGGTCCCTCTCCCCCCCAGCATCACCCTCCCCCAGGATGACGGTCCCTCTCCCCCCAGCATCAACCCTCACCCAGGATGACGGTCCCTCTCCCCCCCCAGCATCACCCTCACCCAGGATGACGGTCCCTCTCCCCCCCAGCATCACCCTCACCCAGGATGAGGGTCCCTCTCCCCCCCCCAAGCATCACCCTCACCCAGGATGATGGTCCCTCTCCCCCTCAGCATCACCCTCCCCCAGGATGACGGTCCCCCCTCCCCCAGCATCACCCTCACCCAGGATGACGGTCCCTCTCCCCCCCAGCATCACCCTCACCCAGGATGACGGTCCCTCTCCCCCCCCCAGCATCACCCTCACCCAGGATGACGGTCCCTCTCCCCCCCCCCCAGCATCACCCTCACCCAGGATGATGGTCCCTCTCCCCCCCCAGCATCACCCTCACCCAGGATGATGGTCCCTCTCCCCCCCCAGCATCACCCTCACCCAGGATGACGGTCCCTCTCCCCCCCAGCATCACCCTCACCCAGGATGACTGTCCCTCTCCCCCCCAGCATCACCCTCACCCAGGATGACGGTCCCTCTCCCCCCAGCATCACCCTCACCCAGGATGACGGTCCCTCTCCCCCCCAGCATCACCCTCACCCAGGATGACGGTCCCTCTCCCCCCCAAGCATCATCCTCACCCAGGATGACGGTCCCTCTCCCCCCCCCCCAGCATCACCCTCACCCAGGATGACGGTCCCTCTCCCCCCAGCATCACCCTCACCCAGGATGACGGTCCCTTTCCCCCCCGCTGCATCACCCTCACCCAGGATGATGGTCCCCCCTCCCCAGCATCACTTTCACCCAGGATGATGGTCCCCCCTCCCCCAACATCACCCTCACCCAGGATGATGGTCCCCCCTCCCCAGCATCACCCTCACCCAGGATGATGGTCCCCCCTCCCCAGCATCACCCTCACCCAGGATGATGGTCCCCCCTCCCCAGCATCACCCTCACCCAGGATGATGGTCCCCCCTCCCCCAGCATCACCCTCACCCAGGATGATGGTCCCCCCTCCCCAGCATCACCCTCACCCAGGATGAGGGTCCCTCTCCCCCCCCCACATCACCCTCACCCAGGATGACGGTCCCTCTCCCCCCAGCATCACCCTCACCCAGGATGATGGTCCCCCCCTCCCCAGCACACACCCTCACCCAGGATGACGGTCCCTCTCCCCCCCCAGCATCACCCTCACCCAGGATGACGGTCCCTCCCCCCCCAGCATCACCCTCACCCAGGATGATGGTCCCTCTCCCCCCCAGCATCACCCTCACCCAGGATGACGGTCCCTCTCCCCCCCCAGCATCACCCTCACCCAGGATGATGGTCCCTCTCCCCCCAGCATCACCCTCACCCAGGATGATGGTCCCTCTCCCCCCCAGCATCACCCTCACCCAGGATGATGGTCCCTCTCCCCCCCCAGCATCACCCTCACCCAGGATGACGGTCCCTCTCCACCCAGCATCACCCTCACCCAGGATGATGGTCCCTCTCCCCCCCCCAGCATCACCCTCACCCAGGATGACGGTCCCTCTCCCCCCCCAGCATCACCCCACCCAGGATGATGGTCCCTCCCCCCCCCAGCATCACCCTCACCCAGGATGATGGTCCCTCTCCCCCCCCAGAAATCACCCTCACCCAGGATGATGGTCCCTCTCCCCCCCCAGCATCACCCTCACCCAGGATGATGGTCCCCTCTCCCCCCCAGCATCACCCTCACCCAGGATGACGGTCCCTCCCCCCCCCCCAGCATCAACCCTCACCCAGGATGACGGTCCCTCCCCCCCCCAGCATCACCCTCACCCAGATGATGGTCCCCTCCCCCCCCCAGCATCACCCTCCCCCAGGATGAGGTCCCCTCCCCCCCCAGCATCACCCTCACCCAGGATGATGGTGGACAAAGTTGGTTGAACATCCCTATTCAATCATCATTTTCTTATTCAATTTCTTCTCCTTCCACCCATTCCCGACCCCGTCCCTTCCCTTCCCTTCCCTAACCCCCTCTCACGCCCCCCTCTTCCCTCCCTTTCCCTTTTCCCATCTCTCTCCTATCTTTCCCTCTCCCCTTTTTATTCTTCCATCCCTCCCCTCATCCCATCTTTGGTGCTAGCTTCCAGATGTAGTCTTAATAACATGCATGGAGTTGATAGGCCTTAGGCCTAATCGAATAATTAAATTTTGGCAAGTCTGTCCAAACTAGTTACGAGATTGTTAAGAAGGTGAAGCACCACAAACTGCAAAGCTGAAATATTTTCGTATCTGACAGTGTTATTATTAATTATGTCACTCTCGTACCCACTCTTAAAAATACACAGACTCTCTCTCTCTCTCTCTCTCTCTCTCTCTCTCTCTCTCTCTCTCTCTCTCTCTTTCACTCACTCTCATTCTTCCTCACTCTTGAAAACACACTAACCCTATTTCACACACTTTCACACTATCATACCCACTGTTCCGCACTCTTTAAAACACACACGCACACACACTCTCTCAAACACGCACCCACTCTCTCGAACACGCACTCTTTAAAACACACACGCACACACACTCGCTCAAACACGCACCCACTCTCTCAAACACGCACCCACTCTCTCAAACACGCACCCACTCTCTCGAACACGCACCCACTCTCTCAAACACGCACCCACTCTCTCGAACACGCACCCACTCTCTCAAACACGCACCCACTCTCTCGAACACGCACCCACTCTCTCAAACACGCACCCACTCTCTCAAACACGCACCCACTCTCTCAAACACGCACCCACTCTCTCAAACACGCACCCACTCTCTCAAACACGCACCCACTCTCTCAAACACGCACCCACTCTCTCAAACACGCACCCACTCTCTCAAACACGCACCCACTCTCTCAAACACGCACCCACTCTCTCAAACACGCACCCACTCTCTCAAACACGCACCCACTCTCTCAAACACGCACCCACTCTCTCAAACACGCACCCACTCTCTCAAACACGCACCCACTCTCTCAAACACGCACCCACTCTCTCAAACACGCACCCACTCTCTCAAACACGCACCCACTCTCTCAAACACGCACCCACTCGCTCTCCGCAGGTGTGCATCGTGCAGAAGTGCGACACGAAGCAGATGTTCGCCATGAAATACATGAACAAGGCTCAGTGCGAGGCCAGGGAGGCGCTAAGTAATGTGTTCAGGGAGATCGAAATACTCGCCAGCCTCAATCATCCATTCCTCGTCAACCTCTGGTTCAGTTTCCAAGGCAAGTCATCTCTTGCATGATATACATTAGTCTTATTCGTCATCTTAACCTTTATTATGCATCAGTAATTACTGATGCCTTACATCAGTAATTACTTACAGTAATTACTGCAACAGTAATGTAGGTAATTAGTGTTACAGTAATTATTTACAGTAATTACTGTAACTGTTAGATGTGCTCAAAGTGCGCGGTTCAGCTGTTATATGTGAGTTACTTGACGGGAACGCTTACAGGTGTTTGGGAAGCTGTGGTGCCTACTGGGGTTTGGGTAGCTGTGGTAGCTTCTGGGGTGTGGGTAGCTGTGGTAGCTTCTGGGGTGTGGGTAGCTGTGGTAGCTTCTGGGGTTTGGGTAGCTGTGGTAGCTTCAGGGATTTGGGTAGCTGTGGTAGCTTCAGGGGTCTGGGTAGCTGTGGTAGCTTCAGAGATTTGGGTAGCTGTGGTAGCTTCAGGGGTCTGGGTAGCTGTGGTAGCTTCAGGGGTCTTGGTAGCTGCGGTAGCTTCAGGGGTCTGGGTAGCTGCGGTCGCTTCAGGGGTCTGGGCAGCTGCGGTAGCTTCAGGGGTCTGGGTAGCTGCGGTAGCTTCAGGGGTCTGGGTAGCCGTGGTAGCTTCAGGGGTCTGGGTAGCTGCGGTCGCTTCAGGGGTCTGGGTAGCTGCGGTAGCTTCAGGGGTCTGGGTAGCTGCGGTCGCTTCAGGGGCCTGGGCAGCTGCGGTAGCTTCAGGGGTCTAGGTAGCTGCGGTAGCTTCAGGGGTCTGGGTAGCTGCGGTAGCTTCAGGGGTCTGGGTAGTTGCGGTAGCTTCAGGGGTCTAGGTAGCTGTGATAGCTTCAGGGGTCTAGGTAGCTGCGGTAGCTTCAGGGGTCTGGGTAGCTGCGGTCGCTTCAGGGGTCTGGGTAGCTGCGGTAGCTTCAGGGGTCTGGGCAGCTGCGGTAGCTTCAGGGGTCTAGGTAGCTGCGGTAGCTTCAGGGGTCTGGGTAGCTGCGGTAGCTTCAGGGGTCTGGGTAGCTGCGGTAGCTTCAGGGGTCTAGGTAGCTGCGGTAGCTTCAGGGGTCTGGGTAGCTGCGGTAGCTTCAGGGGTCTAGGTAGCTGCGGTAGCTTCAGGGGTCTAGGTAGCTGCGGTAGCTTCAGGGGTCTGGGTAGCTGCGGTCGCTTCAGGGGTCTGGGCAGCTGCGGTAGCTTCAGGGGTCTAGGTAGCTGCGGTAGCTTCAGGGGTCTGGGTAGCTGCGGTAGCTTCAGGGGTCTGGGTAGCTGCGGTAGCTTCAGGGGTCTAGGTAGCTGTGATAGCTTCAGGGGTCTAGGTAGCTGCGGTAGCTTCAGGGGTCTGGGTAGCTGCGGTCGCTTCAGGGGTCTGGGCAGCTGCGGTAGCTTCAGGAATCTAGGTAGCTGCGGTAGCTTCAGGGGTCTAGGTAGCTGTGATAGCTTCAGGGGTCTAGGTAGCTGCGGTAGCTTCAGGGGTCTAGGCAGCTGCGGTAGCTTCAGGGGTCTGGGTAGCTGCGGTAGCTTCAGGGGTCTGGGCAGCTGCGGTAGCTTCAGGGGTCTGGGCAGCTGCGGTAGCTTCAGGGGTCTGGGCAGCTGCGGTAGCTTCAGGGGTCTAGGTAGCTGCGGTAGCTTCAGGGGTCTGGGCAGCTGCGGTAGCTTCAGGGGTCTAGGTAGCTGCGGTAGCTTCAGGGGTCTAGGTAGCTGCGGTAGCTTCAGGGGTCTGGGCAGCTGCGGTAGCTTCAGGGGTCTAGGTAGCTGCAATAGCTTCAGGGGTCTAGGTAGCTGCGGTAGCTTCAGGGGTCTAGGTAGCTGCGGTAGCTTCAGGGGTCTAGGTAGCTGCGGTAGCTTCAGGGGTCTAGGTAGCTGCGGTAGCTTCAGGGGTCTAGGTAGCTGCGGTAGCTTCAGGGGTCTAGGTAGCTGCGGTAGCTTCAGGGGTCTAGGTAGCTGCGGTAGCTTCAGGGGTCTGGGTAGCTGTGGTAGCTTCAGGGGTCTAGGTAGCTGCGGTAGCTTCAGGGGTCTGGGTAGCTGTGGTAGCTTCAGGGGTCTAGGTAGCTGCGGTAGCTTCAGGGGTCTGGGTAGCTGTGGTAGCTTCAGGGGTCTGGGCAGCTGCGGTAGCTTCAGGGGTCTGGGTAGCTGTGGTAGCTTCAGGGGTCTGGGTAGCTGCGGTAGCTTCAGGGGTCTGGGTAGCTGTGGTAGCTTCAGGGGTCTGGGTAGCTGTGGCCTATCATGAGCCAGTGAGCCTATCATGAGCCAGTGGGCCTATCATGAGCCAGTGAGCCTATCATGAGCCAGTGGGCCTATCATGAGCCAGTGGGCCTATCATGAGCCAGTGGGCCTATCATGAGCCAGTGAGCCTATCATGAGCCATGGGCCTATCATGAGCCAGTGGGCCTATCATGAGCCAGTGGGCCTATCATGAGCCAGTGGGCCTATCATGAGCCAGTGAGCCTATCATGAGCCAGTTGGCCTATCATGAGCCAGTGGGCCTATCATGAGCCAGTGGGCCTATCATGAGCCAGTGGGCCTATCATGAGCCAGTGGGTCTATCATGAGCCAGTGTGCCTATCACGAGCCAATGGGCCTATCATGAGCCAGTGGGCCTATCATGAACCAGTGGGCCTATCATGAGCCAGTGGGCCTATCATGAGCCAGTGGGCCTATCATGAGCCAGTGGGCCTATCATGAGCCAGTGGGCCTATCATGAGCCAGTGGGCTTATCATGAGCCAGTGGGCCTATCATGAGCCAGTGGGTCTATCATGAGCCAGTGGGCCTATCATGAGTCAGTGGGCCTATCATGAACCAGAGGGCATATCATGAGCCAGTGGGCCTATCATGAGTCAGTGGGCCTATCATGAACCAGTGGGCCTATCATGAACCAGTGGGCCTATCATGAACCAGTGGGCCTATCATGAACCAGTGGGCCTATCATGAGCCAGTGGGACTATCATGAGTCAGTGGGCCTATCATGAACCAGTGGGCCTATCATGAACCAGTGGGCCTATCATGAGCCAGTGGGACTATCATGAGTCAGTGGGCCTATCATGAACCAGTGGGCCTATCATGAACCAGTGGGCCTATCATGAGCCAGTGGGACTATCATGAGTCAGTGGGCCTATCATGAACCAGTGGGCCTATCATGAGCCAGTGGGACTATCATGAGTCAGTGGGCCTATCATGAACCAGTGGGCCTATCATGAACCAGTGGGCCTATCATGAGCCAGTGGGACTATCATGAGTCAGTGGGCCTATCATGAACCAGTGGGCCTATCATGAACCAGTGGGCCTATCATGAACCAGTGGGCCTATCATGAACCAGTGGGCCTATCATGAGCCAGTGGGACTATCATGAGCCAGTGGGACTATCATGAGCCAGTGGGCATATCATGAGCCAGTGGGACTATCATGAGTCAGTGGGCCTATCATGAACCAGTGAGCCTATCATGAACCAGTGGGCCTATCATGAGCCAGTGGGACTATCATGAGCCAGTGGGCCTATCATGAGTCAGTGGGCCTATCATGAACCAGAGGGCATATCATGAGCCAGTGGGACTATCATGAGTCAGTGGGCCTATCATGAACCAGTGGGCCTATCATGAACCAGTAGGCCTATCATGAGCCAGTGGGCCTATCATGAACCAGTGGGCCTATCATAAGCCAGTGGGCCTATCATGAACCAGAGGGCATATCATGAGCCAGTGGGCCTATCATGAACCAGTGGGCCTATCATAAGCCAGTGGGCCTATCATGAACCAGTGGGCCTATCATGAACCAGTGGGCCTATCATGAGCCAGTGGGCCTATCATGAACCAGTGGGCCTATCATGAACCAGTGGGTCTATCATGAGCCAGTGTGCCTATCATGAGCCAATGGGCCTATCATGAGCCAGTGTGCCTATCATGAGCCAGTGGGCCTATCATGAGCCAGTGGGCCTATCATGAGGCAGTGTGCCTATCATGAGCCAGTGGGCCAATCATGAGCCAGTGGGCCTATCATGAACCAGTGGGCCTATCATGAGCCAGTGGGCCTATCATGAGCCAGTGAGCCTATCATGAGGCAGTGGGCCTATCATGAGCCAGTGGGCCTATCATGAGCCAGTGAGCCTATCATGAGCCAGTGAGCCTATCATGAGCCAGTGAGCCTATCATGAGCCAGTGAGCCTATCATGAGCCAGTGAGCCTATCATGAGCCAGTGAGCCTATCATGAGCCAGTGGGCCTATCATGAGCCAGTGAGCCTATCATGAGCCAGTGAGCCTATCATGAGCCAGTGAGCCTATCATGAGCCAGTGAGCCTATCATGAGCCAGTGGGCCTATCATGAGCCAGTGGGCATATCATGAGCCAGTGAGCCTATCATGAGCCAGTGAGCCTATCATGAGGCAGTGGGCCTATCATGAGCCAGTGGGCCTATCATGAGCCAGTGAGCCTATCATGAGCCAGTGAGCCTATCATGAGTCAGTGGGCCTATCATGAGCCAGTGAGCCAGTAGATGAGCCAGACACATGTACAATTATTAGGTATCTTTCACGAGATGTTTATCTTTATGAGTCTAACAAGGAATAATAATACTGGAGACGGTGGAAGCCTTGAAGCAGTTTGATGTAATAAGTCCCTCAACCTTGCTAGAGATCTTCAGTCTGTCAAGACTAATAATGGCCCAAACACTTCCAGCACATTCATCTATTGGCTGGTGGGGGTTAGACAAGTTCCTGTCATGTTCTTTGTCAATTTCAGGTCCAGACGACATATTCAGTATTATACAAAAATTCGAAAAGAAATGTTGGGTCAAAATATTATTGAAAGTCTTAAATTTCAAAAGCTTCTTGTCTTCACCTCGAGGTTTTTGTCCCAAGTAAAAAAAAAAAAAAAAAAAAAAAAAGGGGCTCAGAAAATGGCACACGGAACCTCATGTAACCAGCATCCATCACTTCCATTTTCCTACTTTTCCTTTGTGCTATTTTATTGCACCTTTTATATTGGACCAATTTTACCGATGCCATTTTTCCCGTGTAGCGCAAAAAATGCCTTATACTTCCAGTATCTTCCATAAAGTCACTTTCATACTCCGGAACACTATTTACCCTTTCCTTTTCACCTATTATAACACCCTTTCTCTATCATTTTCCTCACTGCAGCACATTGATCGTCTCTTTCACTTTTCCTACTTCTCTCCCAACTATTATTTTCCCCAATCTAGTTTCCCGAGGCGCAGTCTCTCATTTCAGAGCCTCTCTTTTTCACTCTCTCGTCATTTTCCCCCCTCGTCCAAACAGATCGTCCATGTCTCACTTTCTTGCAGATTCCGAGGATATGTTCATGGTAGTAGACCTGTTACTGGGCGGTGACCTGCGTTACCACGTCCAGCAAGGCGTCCAGTTCACTGACCAGGCTGTCAGACTCTATATCTTAGAAGTGGCTTCTGCCCTCTCCTACCTCCACGCCAGGCATATCATCCATAGGTGAGCTACACACCTATCCACCCACCTTAACCCCTCACCTGCCTAGGAATCTCAGGTGAATCAGGTGAGTCTACGAGTCATCGCAGAGGCATAATACAGTGACTGAAACAATACACAAATAACCTGCACATGGGAGAAGGTTATAACGACGTTTTGGTCCACTGTGACTAGATTTTAGGGGAAATCAGAGACTCCTAGGTGACACCAGGTAAGCCAGGTCAGGCTCCAGGTGAGTTTCTGTGCTCCTAGGGTGAACCTAGCCAGGCCAGGTGATTCTATCTAAACAGGTGAAGGAGGTGAAGTATTCTGATGTTTTCCCTTGTTTGTATATGTAATATATGGTTTTAATGTTATAACAAACAAATGTAATTTGATTTTGTGTAATTTTGATATTGTTGATGTTAATGTTGATGCTATTTGCCTTTCTATTAATGTTATCCTAGTGCTATCACCACCGTCATCATTATAACCACCATTGTCATTATCATCACCATTATCACTTATATCCATACCACTATCACCATCATCCTCACAATCATCACCACAACTACCATCACAGCCACAACAATAGCTACAACCACCACCACCATCATTATAGCCAACAATCACATAACTCACTATCATTCATGTTCTATCTCTCTTTCAGAGACATCAAACCTGATAACTTGCTTCTGGACGAAGAAGGTGAGTGTATGTGTGTGAGTGTGAGTGTGTGTGTGTGTGTGTGTGAGTGTGAGTGTGTGTGAGAGTGTAAGTGTGAGTTATCAGTAGAACCTGATAATATATATATATATATATATATATATATATATATATTATATATATATATATATATATATATATATAATATATATATATATATATATATATATTTTATTTAAAGACAAAATACATTGACAAAACATTCACAAAGATACAATAGAAAGTAAAACAACATAGGTGACTCAGAGCTACATCTCGAATACTTCGTCCATATATATATTATGCACTGTATTCTCCCTATTATTGAATAATAACCCTCATACCTAACCACTTAACCATCCTGGCTCCTAGCCACTAATATTCCTACGCTTCTAACCACTTAACGACGTTCACTACTAGCCACTTAGCAAGTACCTTCAAAGAAGTTCTGGGTGGAGCCCAACTCCTGGTCTCTGTACTCAAGTTATAATTAGTTTCTACAGATCATGACCAAGACTTATATTAAAATAATGATCTAACATTTTATTTCATTATTTCGCGTATCTCTTTAATGTCAAAAGTTGCTCTGATTCACGAGAAAAAAAAAGTAATGAGTTGTAATATTAAGGATGATAACAGCAACAATGAGGATGATAACGTAGTGATGATAATGTAGATAGTGATGATAATGTTGAAGAATCATCCCACTGGTAGGGTCGCATGTTTAGATGAGGTTCCTGATGAACCAGCTATGTATCCTGGTAGAATTTGTTCCACCAAATCATGGGTTCCATTGGAGTAAGTTAACACTTTCTATCAACACAATTTGAGAGGCGGTGCATGTGTCCGGCCTACCTAGCCAGGCTGACTGCCCATCGTGATTCATCAAGAGGCTGGTTGAGAACGATTTTCCTAAGTAATGACTCGAGATGGCTTTGAAAGTATTGAGGAGCCTTTAAAAACAGGTTTGTCTAGGTAGCGATAGACGTCATTTCAGAAACGTCGTGAACATCAACGTTTCTGAAATGTGGACAGTGGCAAAACCCTGCAAGTGGAAATAAAGACACCTGTAGCAGAGAATACTTTTAATACAACATTTCGTCCAGCCTATCCTTAGGCGAAACGTTGTATTAAAAAGGATTCGTTGCTACCAGTGTCTTTGTCGTCATGGAGGTTTTTTTATTATTATCACACCGGCCGATTCCCACCAAGGCAGGGTGGCCCGAAAAAGAAAAACTTTCACCATCATTCACTCCATCACTGTCTTGCCAGAAGGGTGCTTTACACTACAGTTTTTAAACTGCAACATTAACACCCCTCCTTCAGAGTGCAGGCACTGTACTTCCCATCTCCCGGACTCAAGTCCGGCCTGCCGGTTTCCCTGAATCCCTTCATAAATGTTACTTTGCTCACACTCCAACAGCACGTCAAGTATTAAAAACCATTTGTCTCCATTCACTCCTATCAAACACGCTCATGCATGCCTGCTGGAAGTCCAAGCCCCTCGCACACAAAACCTCCTTTACCCCCTCCCTCCAACCCTTCCTAGGCCGACCCCTACCCCGCCTTCCTTCCACTACAGACTGATACACTCTTGAAGTCATTCTGTTTCGCTCCATTCTCTCTACATGTCCGAACCACCTCAACAACCCTTCCTCAGCCCTCTGGACAACAGTTTTGGTAATCCCGCACCTCCTCCTAACTTCCAAACTACGAATTCTCTGCATTATATTCACACCACACATTGCCCTCAGACATGACATCTCCACTGCCTCCAGCCTTCTCCTCGCTGCAACATTCATCACCCACGCTTCACACCCATATAAGAGCGTTGGTAAAACTATACTCTCATACATTCCCCTCTTTGCCTCCAAGGACAAAGTTCTTTGTCTCCACAGACTCCTAAGTGCACCACTCACTCTTTTTCCCTCATCAATTCTATGATTCACCTCATCTTTCATAGACCCATCCGCTGACACGTCCACTCCCAAATATCTGAATACGTTCACCTCCTCCATACTCTCTCCCTCCAATCTGATATTCAATCTTTCATCACCTAATCTTTTTGTTATCCTCATAACCTTACTCTTTCCTGTATTCACCTTTAATTTTCTTCTTTTGCACACCCTACCAAATTCATCCACCAATCTCTGCAACTTCTCTTCAGAATCTCCCAAGAGCACAGTGTCATCAGCAAAGAGCAGCTGTGACAACTCCCACTTTGTGTGTGATTCTTTATCTTTTAACTCCACGCCTCTTGCCAAGACCCTCGCATTTACTTCTCTTACAACCCCATCTATAAATATATTAAACAACCACGGTGACATCACACATCCTTGTCTAAGGCCTACTTTTACTGGGAAAAAATTTCCCTCTTTCCTACATACTCTAACTTGAGCCTCACTATCCTCGTAAAAACTCTTCACTGCTTTCAGTAACCTACCTCCTACACCATACACTTGCAACATCTGCCACATTGCCCCCCTATCCCCCCTGTCATACGCCTTTTCCAAATCCATAAATGCCACAAAGACCTCTTTAGCCTTATCTAAATACTGTTCACTTATATGTTTCACTGTAAACACCTGGTCCACACACCCCCCTACCTTTCTAAGCCTCCTTGTTCATCTGCTATCCTATTTCCGTTTTACTCTTAATTCTTTAAATTATAACTCTACCTACACTTTACCAGGTACACTCAACAGACTTATCCCCCTATAATTTTTGCACTCTTTTTATCCCCTTTGCCTTTATACAAAGGAACTATGCATGCTCTCTGCCAATCCTAGGTCCCTTTAAACCTCTTCCATACATTTATTAAATAATTGCACCAACCACTCCAAAACTATATCCCCACCTGTTTTAACATTTCTATCTTTATCCCATCATCCCGGCTGCCTTACCCCCTTTCATTTTACCTACTCCCTCACGAATTTCCCCCCACACTCACAACTGGCTCTTCCTCACTCCTACAAGATGTTATTCCCCCTTTTGCCCTATCCCACGAAATCACAGTTTCCCCTTTATCTTCATCAACATTTAACAATTCCTCAAAATATTCCTTCCTCTTCCAATACCTCTAACTCTCCATTTAATAACTCTCCTCTCCTATTTTTAACTGACAAATCCATTTGTTCTTAGGCTTTTTTAAAATTTGTTAATCTCACTCCAAAACTTTTTTTTATTTTCAACAAAATTTGTTGAAAAACATCTCACCCACTCTCTCATTTGCTCTCTTTTTAAAATTGCTTCACCACTCTCTTAACTTCTCTCTTTTTCTCCATATACTCTTCCTCCTTGCACACTTCTACTTTGTAAAAAATTTCATATGCTAACTTTTTCTCCCTTATACTCTCTTTAATCATCATTCCACCAATCGCTCCTCTTCCCTCCGGGCCCCCACTTTCCTGTAACCACAAACTTCTGCGAACACTCTAACACTACATTTTTAAACCTACCCCATACCTCTTCGACCCATTGCCTAGGCTCTCATTAGCCCATCTATCCTCCAATAGCTGTTTATATCTTACCCTAACTGCCTCCTTTTTTTAGTTTATAAACCTTTACCTCTCTCTTCCCTGATGCTTCTATTCTCCTTGTATCCCATCTCCTTTTACTCTCAGTGTAGCAAACAACTAGAAGTGATCTGATATATCTGTGGCCCCCCTATAACTTTTACATCCTGAAGTCTACTCACAGTCTTTTATCTACCAATACATAATCCAACAAAACTACTGTCATTTCGCCCTACATCATATCGTGATACTTTTACCTCTTTTTCTTAAAATATGTATTACCTATAACCCAAACCCCTTTCTATACAAAGTTCAATCAAAGGGCTCCCATTATCATTTAACCTGGCACCCAAACTTACCTACCACACCCTCTCTAAAAATTTCTCCTACTTTAGCATTCAAGTCCCCTACCACAATTACTCTCTCAAATTGGTTCAAAGGCTCCTATACTTTTACTTAACATCTCCCAAAATTTTCTCTCTCTCCTCTGGGATTCCTCTTTTCCAGGTGCATACACACTTATTATGACCCACTTCTCGCATCCCAACCTTTACTTTAATCCCCATAATTCTTGAATTTACACATTCATATTCTCTTTTCTCCTTCCATAAAATGATCATTTAACATTACTGCTACCCCTTCCTTTGCTCTAACTCTCTCAGATACTCCAGATTTAATCCCATTTATTTTCCCCCCCCCGAAACTCTCCTACCCCCTTCAGCTTTGTTTCGCTTAGGGCCAGGACATCCAACTTCTTTTCATTATAAAAATCAGCAATCATCTGTTTTCTTGTCATCCGCACTACATCCACGCACATTTAAAAAACAACCCAGTTTTATAAAGTTTTTCTTCTTCCTTTTTTAGTAATTGTATACAGGAGAAGGGGTTACTAGCCCATTGCTCCCGGCATTTTAGTCGCCTCATACGACACGCATGGCTTACGGAGGAAAGATTCTTTTCCACTTCCCCATGGACAATAGAAGAAATAAAAAAGAACAAGAGCTATTTAGAAAAAGGAGAAAAACCTAGATGTATGTATATATATATATGCATGTGCGTGTCTATGAAGTGTGACCAAAGTGTAAGTAGGAGTAGCAAGATATCCCTGTTATCTTAGCGTGTTTATGAGACATGGAGGTATCCTATCTTAATCTCTATCCGTTTCAAGCCAGTGATTTGCCCCGGTCCCCTCCCCCCCCCAAGCATCTCACTGATGGCGCTGGCTGCAAGTGCAGCTCCCAGGAGAGTACTGTCAGTGAGGTTAATGCCCTGCACCCCGTGCAAGACGTTTGTTGCTTGCCTGGTTGGTTGTGGGTTTGCTGGAGGACACTAGTTCACTTTGGAAGAGGCCTTAGATTCTCTCTTTACTCTTTGATTCTCCTGATGTCTAGAGTGCCATCATCCAGTAACTAGAGTTTGAGCTCAATGCCCAGATCTCCTGTGACTTCCTTGATGGCTAGCCCCCAGTGGAAATAAGTACAAGGCCCC